CAGTAGCAGTAGCCGTGGCAATGGCTGGGAAGTCTCAGTTGGAGTGGCGGCAGCAGCAGGAGCGGGACCAGGAGCAGGAGCAGCAAAGCTGCAGGAGCAGGAGCAAGAGCGGGAACAGGCACAGCAGGAGCAATAGCAGTAGCAGTATGTAGTAGCAGCTAGCAGTACGTGTGAGCAGTAGTAGCAGTAAGAACTATCAGCAGGAAGGACAAGTTGTGACAAGTAGTAGTAGTAGTAGTAGCAGCAGCAGTAGTAGTAGTAGCAGCAGTAGTAGTAGCAGTAGTAGTAGCAGCAGCAGCAACTTAGTAGAAATAGTGATAGGAAGAGAAGGAAGAGGAGTGTTGTATGAAGTACGTAATCTGTAAGAGTGCTCACAAGCCACGCTTCCAAAAATGAGGAGGCAGCCGCGGATGAGCTATAGTTCTTTAGCGGTACTGGCGTTACTGCAAAACTTGGCTATCGATGTATGCTTTGAACCCCCACCTCCACCCCCGACAAACCAGAGAATCCTGTGAACCTTTCAATTTAGCCCACCCTGCCCCTCTCCCCCACCCTCCTGCCACAAACCAGAGAGTTCTGTAAAGCTTTCTTTGTAGCTCGAGCTCCCCGACTCCCCCTAAATTGATGCTATCAATAATTCGCCGGTTTCTGGCGCTGGTCTACCTGTCTACACAAGCAGACTTGACTGAAGCCCTGCTCTGCGAGATGTCTTGACTTCGCTTCTTCAAGCTGGGGTCCGGAGGTCGCTCCTCCTTGCCCCTTCACCAAAAGCAATAGCGAAGGGCCGTTGCCACAAACTGCCACACTCCGAGTCAGAGAGTGCTCGGCCTCTCTGCAGGATACACGGTCGATCTGATTGAAGACGCGGGCGATAAAGGCCGATACTTGTCCAGCTCCTCGAAAGACTTCACCACAGGCTCGTCGCATACTCACACCCAGCATTTCTCATCAGACGTCTCTCAACTTCGTGAAGATGTCTGAGCTCGGCACATCCACTGGCTGCACCGGCTGACCTGCCTTGGACATCGGCGAAAGAGGCCTCGTCAAACGTGCCCTGCTTCAATGTGAGCAGCGAGCATGCACATGACTACGAGGGGACCTGAACTTCTCCAGCTCGTCGTACCGTGTCGGGCTGGCTTGGGGTGACAGCGGCCGGAACTGGTCAAGGCCATCGCCGACGGGAGTCCTGGTCAGAAGTGAGTCAAAAGCACGTATGCTGCGTGTTTCGGTGCACCGGCACCCTGAAGCTCCCTCGGCAGTTCCGGCGACCAGAGGGCCCGAGAGCTAGAAACTTGAAACTCGAAACCTGCACGACCTTCTAACTCCGGGAGCCCGGCCTTTCGTTGGATTCGGCACCAAACGTCGCCTTTTCGCTCGTGGCTTACTCTGTGGGAAGTGACAAACAGCTACCAGAGATCAGGATTTCCCGGTCCATGGCCATTGTTCAAAAACTCAGGGTTCATGGCCGGGCGAGAGGCGACTCGGGCCCCTGGCTTGTGAGAGAGGCCGGAATTCCTCGCTCATGCAGACGCTTAGGCGGTGCCCCGGAGAATCCTCACCTGCACAGGATACTTAGGACGCAGGTTCCGTTAGGCTTCGGCTTGGGTCAAGGGGCTGTCTCCAACTACCTTGGCTTCTGCTTTGTACTGACTGTACCCTGAACTGCTACTGCCAGGATCTGCAGGTGTGAGGAGGATCTAGGACACCATGCATCTGTAAACAGTCCGGTACGCCAAATCGATGCCAACAGACAGCATAACGATCCCGGCCAAACCTCGTTGAGGCAGATCCGGTATTTTCCTCGCGCAAACAAAGCGATTGGATTTCAGCTTCGACTCTCATACTCGGTGCCAGGAGATGACTCAATGACTGGTCTCTTTTGGACCTCCACCCAGTCTCCAACAAACCATCAACGACTTGAAACCAAACAACTTCAACAAAACAGCAACCGCCATACTGCTCAAAAGGCTCTTGCTCCCAGGCTACACATATGTCACAGGAAGATCCCACGACCATTCAGAAATCACTCACAAGGGCCCCGGCAGGCTCTTGTGACGCACGACATTCGGTGCTGAAGGCGAGCCAAGCTCTACATCCATGGCCACCGGAGAGCGCCGAGGCGACGAGCCTCGCGGCTGCATGCTGCATGCGAAATCTTCAAAAAAGACCTGCTGTCTGCATCCAAAGTGCTGTGACGCGTGGGCAGTTCCAGCAGCACCTGCCCGGAGAAGCTGCAAGCGTGATGTCAGCAGATTTCAGGTTATGGATGCACACCGAATGGCAAAAATGGTTGCGCACTGTGCGTTCTTCGCCCCTCCCCCCGAGACCGAAGCTCGGAGACCCCAGCCGATCCACACAGGCGGAGGGGGGATGATCACACGGTAATCACACGCACCACGGGACGCCATTGGGAGGGGGAGAGGGGGAGGGGTTTGGTTGCAATGGTATCCCGAGCCTTCGACACCTGTGCGGAGGGCCCCGTTCCACGGAGAAAGGGGTCCGAAGCTGGAACACCCCGGCCGATCCACAGGGCGAGGGCGGGAAGGGGGATGATCACACGCGCAACCACTGGAACAAGGCCTGAATCAAACCACCCAACCAAGCCACGCGCAAGCTCAAGGCACAATCCGTTCCACAGGCGAGGGAGGGGGGATGACCAAATAAGGGGATACCGTTGGGGGGGAGGGGTGAAGTACCGAATGTTACACGTTCCGGGCATCTGTGATTGCACGTATCACTTGCATGTTTCCATGTCTGCGTGCTCAAGGTTCTAGCGTAGCAGAGTATAAAGACTACGGCCGACAACCTGTAGAAAAGAGACACTTGCGTGCTTGTG